AAAAAGAAGAAGAAGAAGAAGAAGAAGAAGAAGAAGAAGAAGAAGAAGAAGAAGAAGAAGAAGAAGAAGAAGAAGAAAATGGTATTAAAAAGAACAGAGAACAAAAAAGTGATTTTGGAAAACAAGAATATGATTGCCAAAAAAGGACAGGAAGGTAAAGACCCAAAAGGACAACAATAAAAAATGGGAGTCATTGTCTTGGGCAACATCCAAAGGACCGGACTACACAGGATAATGCAATTCTTCAAACATTTTGAAAATATGACTCAGTTATTGCATAAACTCATGTCTACTTTCTTTGCTTCATGTACATTTGTTGGAGTTTAGAAACTTTGTGAAAAAGATAGTGACATCCTGAGATTGCTATGATAGATAGTCTGAGAATTTCTAGTTAAATCTTTTTTCTTGTCTTCATCATCTAGATAATCATTCCAATTAACATTTTGTGTTTGTTGAAACACTTAATAATTTCAAAATTTGTTGCAGTTTTTTTGATCATTATCACCAGTAGATCACTATTAAATAAGAATCTCTCAATATATTCTGCTTAAGAAGTAGAATGATTTCTTTTGAAAATATGAAACACAGACAACTAATTGTGTTTCTCTGAGGTGGATCTGGGGTATATATTTAAATATTTTTTGTGTTACACAGTTATTTGATTATCTGTAGAAGTTCAGCTTCCCTCTTGTAGAATTGTGAAAAAAAGTCTCAAATAGAATTTATCTATGTATTCTCTTGTTTCACATGCCTGGGGTGGTTTGTCAAAATTATACTTTTTAATGAAGAATTAGAAAGAAGAATTCACACCATAATTTTTATTTTCTTTATTCATTATTTTTCTAAATTAAAAAAAATGACTCAATATCACTTACCTGTGCCTTTCAATTTTTTGAAGTAATTTTGGAGCACTAATCACATCACCTTGTACCACCCTTCCATGTGCAAAAGGAAGAAAAAAGTCTACAGATTAAAAAACAAACCAAAACATTACCTTGAGCTATGTAAGGTGTTGTTTCCTCCTTCGGAGGTACATTTGTGGGTCGAGGTGTAGGGGCAGGAGGTCTGTTTATAATGAAGGACCGACTTCCGGTTCTCTTCTTTACACTCATATTGGCCAGGATCTGGTCATATTCATTATCATCAATTTCAGCAAAAGTGTAAGGGTCTTCCTCCTCCTGTTTCTTTTCATCTTCTACTTTGGGTTCATCTCTCTTTTCTTGTCTGGCACTAGGATAACTCCAGTTTTGACTCCTTTCTACTTGTCCTTCCGCGGTTCTCCCTGCTTATGAAATATTTAGACTGTGTTTATGCTTCTATTCTATGAAATGTTATTGGTGTCCATCCGACACAATTGGGTTTCCCAAAGTAGCTTAATCAAATGCCATAGGAAACAATATAAAGGAAGAGGTCCTGTTTCTAGAAAAATAATTATAAATAAATTCCAAAAGAAAAATGAACTGTGTAATTTGTGAACAGAACTTTCTGCAGTTTGTAGTTGCTAATTTTGTTAAGAAAACCACTTGGTTTAAGAAATTAATTTTTTGAAAACATAACTTTTTACCACCTTCTTTCTCCACCAGCCATACACTTTCGTGATTCTTGCACTGAATATTTTGCCTAGAGTTCATTTTCTCTGGGAATGATGGGAGAAAATAGCCAAAGGTATCACTACTCTATTTCCTCCTGGTTGGTTTCTGGCTATGACAAAACTGACCTTCAAAAGTGCAAGTCTAGATTTTTATAAGCCATTTAGATAAAGGACTCTGAAAAGAGCATTCAGGATACAAAAAAACAGCATCGACAACCAATGGCTTGAGTATTAATTCATATGAAAAGAATAAAAGTAGACATGTCAGAATCCTGTGGTTCCATATTCAGTAAAATCTATACATACTTTTATAGGAATATACTAAAATATTTTAGTAGCTCTTATTTAGAAGACAGATACATGAAATACTTTGGTGAATAAGTTGAAAAGAATTTGAATGTTATGGCTCTCTACCAGGTCAATGAGAGGTTTGTTTTTTGTTTTTTTGGCTTTTTAACCCCCATTTTTATAAAACATTGCCAAATTGCCTTTGGAGGATGAGAATCAGATAATAATGTTAGGAAAACTAGGGATATCAGGAACATACCTCAACATTGTAAAGGCTATGTATGCTAAGCCCCAGGCCAACATCATTTGAAATGGAGAAAAATTGAAAGCATTCCCTCTAAAAACTGGAAAAAGACAGGAATGCCCTCTTTTACCACTTCTATTTAATATAGTTCTCAAAACTCTAGCCAGATCAATAAGACCAGATGAAAGAAATTAAAGGTATATGGATAGGAAAAGAAGAACTCAAATTATCAATATTTGCAGATGATATGATTTAATACCTAGAAGACCCAAAACATTACACAAGAAATCTCCTAAAACTAATAAATAAATTCAGCAAAGTAGCTGGATATAAAATCAACAGCCATAAATAAATCAAAGGCATTTCTGTATATCAGTGACAAATCCTCTGAAAGAGAAATTAGGAAAACTACCCCATTTATAATAGCCTCAAAAACAAAAATAAAGAAACAAAAAACCTTGGGAATAAACTTAACAAAAGAAGCAAAAGACCTCTACAATTAAAACTACAGCACCATAAAGAAGGAAATTAAAGAAGACCTTAGAAGATGAAAAGATCTACCTAGTTCTTGGATAGGCAGAATTAATATTGTCAAAATGACCATACTACCAAAAGCACTATACAGATTCATGCAACCCCAATCAAAATCCCAATGACATTCCTCATAGAAATAGAAAAAGCAACCATTAAATTCATCTGGAAAAATAAGAGACCCAGAATAGCCAAAGCAATCCTTAGCAAGAAGAGTGAAACTGGTGGCATTACTATTCCACACTTAAACTATGCTACAGAGCAATAGTAACAAAAACAGCATCGTATTGGCACCAAAATAGAACTGTAGATCAATGTTACTGAATGGAGGACACAGAGACTAACCCAAATAACTACCATTACCTTATATTAGGCAAAGTTGACAAAAACATGCATTGGAGAAAAGAGCCTGTTCAACAAATGGTGCTGGGAAAACTGGAAATCCACATGTAACAAAATTAAATTAACCTCTATCTCTCACCATGCACAAAACTCAACTCAAAGTGGATCAAGGACCTAGGATTAAACCAGACACCTTAGGCCTAATGGAAGAAAAAGTAGACCCAAATCTCCATGTGTTGTTTCAGCCCCAACTTCCTTAATAAGACTCCTGTAGTGCAAGAATTAAAACCAAGAATCAATAAATGGGATGGATTCAAACTAAAACCCTTCTCAACAAAAGAAACAATCAGAGAGCCTACATAATGGGAGCAGATCTTTATCCCAAGCACATCAGATACAGCACTATCTCTAGGATATATAAAACACTCAAAAACCTTAACACCAAAAAAACTTAATAACCAAATTAATAAACGGGCCAAGGAACTGAACCGAAACTTCTCAGAAGAGGATATACAAGCAATCAACAAACATATGAAAAAATGGTGAACATTTCTAGCAATTAGAGAAATCAAATCAAAACTACTCTAATATTTCATCTCACTACAGTCAGAATGGCAGCTATTATGAAGACAAAGTGTTGGCAAGAACGTGGGGGGAAAGGCACACTCATACATTGCTGGTGGGACTGCAAATTGGTGCAGCCAATATGGAAAGCAGTATGGAGATTCCTTGGAAATCTGGGAATGGAACCTCCATTTGACCCAGCTATCCCTCTCCTCAGACTATACCTAAAGGATTTAAAAACAGCATACTACAGGGACACAGCCACATCAATGTTTATAGCAGCACAATTCATAATAGCTGAAGGGCTAAAATGCCCTTCAGTGGATGAATGGATAAAAAAATGTGGTATATATACACAATGGAATTTTACTCAGCAATAAAAGAGAATAAATTCATCATATTTGCAGGTAAATGAATGGAGTTGGAGAATATAATGCTAAGTGAATTAAGCCAATCCCAAAAAACCAAAGGTCAAATGTTTTCTTTGATATGAGAATGCTGACTCATAATGGTGATGGGGGGTGGAGCATGGGAGGAATGGAGGAACTTTAGATAGGGAAAAGAGGAGGGAGGGAAAGGGAAGGGGTTAGGGGGTAGAAATGATGGTGAAATGAGTTAGACATCATTACCCTAAGTACATGTATGCAGACACAAATGGTGTAAATTACTTTGTGTACAATCAGTGACTTGAACAATTGTGCTCTATATATGTAATATAAAATGAATTGCATTCTACCATCATGTATAACAAATTAGAATAAATATATAATTTAATAAAAATATTTAAAAAAATAATGATAATAAAGTAGTTTATTACTTATGTGCATTTTAGTGGAAAAACAGAATCTAAAAGGAAACATAAATAGTACAGAAGACAAGACTATTGTCATAAAAAGATTCAGCAATTGTTTTGGGTAGGTTTTTGTGGAGTGACCAAGTTCATCTCACATAGGAGTCTTAAATGTCACTGCTCCCCTTAGTTTAATCCAAGAAGTACTAATTACCTATAAGCTTCACACTGAATTTAAAATCACTGTGACTTGCCTTTTCCTCTGTGAATAATATGGTTTGACTTCATGAGTTCTGTTTTACTGACAGCATCACAGGTGAACCCTGATGAAGTGTGTGGGAAACACTTTTACAGTGCTTCATTTTTAGCAAAATGTGTCAGCCATCTTACTTTTATGAACCGATTTCCTGAGCTGTTAACTTTTTTTGTTTCCCCACCCACCACTCTTCCTAACTTTTTAAAGTTAGATTTGCACTAGAAAGAATGCATTTTACTTTTTATTTTCCCAAGTATCAGATTATACTTCTTGTTAAAGAGTGGCTCATGTTCCACTCAATTCAGGTTATGCACTAACAAATAACTGTTGAAATGTGTCACTTCTGTAAATCCAACTTTTGTAATACTTGGAGTAAGAAGAATAAAAGAGAAGAAAATAGAAGAACCTTAGAAGTCCAATAAACCTCTTCATGTAAGTATTTGATATATTCTAATCATAGGCTCTATGGTGTTGCATCTGAGTCAAAGAGGGATCATTCTGATAGTTACATTCTGGAATTATTGTGAAGACAAAGATCATATGTTCTTTATAAAGTGAAAAGGGATCCATAATGTTACATTTTAAGATTCTCAAAACAAATATGTCCACAAATCCATAGTGAGGAATTTGAGTCCTCGGCTATAGATGGACTGGTCTCTTTTGGCAATAACTGAAGGCAGATGAAATTTACACCTAAGCAATTCCTGAAATTATCACTAGCTAACGTGAAAGAACTTTGTGCATCTTTGTCTCTGGCAAAAATTAAGTGGAAATTTGTAGGCTTACTTGTAAAAGAACTAAATTAAGGAATTTTAAGAAAAAATGTTGGCTTTTATTTTCCATTTTCTTCCAATATCAACCCTATAAAAAGGCAAGTTGAAAAACATCACCACATAAAATGTAAAAATAGGGTTTTAAAATAAAAGCAGCAAGTCTTTGTTTTATTTTGCTTTTTATATTTGGTAGTTTTCAGGAGATAAATTAGCCAATATTCTTTTCTAGTCTAGGTATCTGGTAAACACTGGAGTAGAGTAATTTTATACCTCCTATCCAACATATTATATATAGAAATTTACATTAGGAAAAACATAATTTAATATTAGCTCCTGCAAGAGATTTGACCTGACACAAGAAAATCTTTTCTTCTAAAGAATAGAGTATTACATCAAATTATTTGAATACCAAAAGTGAGAAAAACATGCCAGGATTTGGTTATCAGTGAATTAACCACCTATGTTTCCTTGCCCTACCGATTTTCATAATCTACTTCATTGATATAGGTCAATGAAGGGTCTACAAGGGCTTGGCACACAGTAGGTAAGCAATAAATGCCTGCTTATGAGGGACTGATTCAGAGGAGCTCCCATTAGGCTTTGGTACATTCCACTGAGCAAAATTTTGCATCTATAAATGCAGTGCTTGACCTTAGGATGGCTTATGTTGACAAAATAGAGCTTCACAGGCAGAGCCTTCAAGGACACTAATGCTAAATTTCTTGGCTTCAAAATTCTCCTTTTTGAAATAATATTAATGTACTTAAGAGCTTTCTAGGACAAAACAACTAAAGGGCAGTGACAAATATATTATCTTAATGGGAACTTTTAAATCTTTGTTATTAAATTTGCTTCGTGAATTTGGAAAGCAAATATAAAGTAATGTTCAATTTTAGTGGGATATCATTAGTGACTATAGGAGATAACCTGGAGGTGGAAATTTTTCAGGTTGTTGAACACTGGAGGTAGAAAAGCCCAATGTGGAAACTCCTCTTCATGCTCACTGTAAGGTTTGTCCTCCACAGTATACTCCACACCCCCGCCTTACACACCCCAATTTTACCTCTGAGAACAAATGGCATGACAGCCATGGTGGCTGTTCTACTTTGGAGATATACAGATTATATATATCTTGTATTCTTAGACTTCAGTCTCAATGCATTGTGCAATAAACTCCTTACCACTTCATTCTTCCACAGCTACAAAGTGAGTGATGCCTAAGATCATTTGCAAGTCATCTGTAAATCATCTGTAAAACATTAGCCTTCCCCTCTTGCCAGAATACTAAGAGTATTTTTTAAAAGCAATGTTGTCATTTGCTTTTCCACAGGATACTTGAGGTTCATTTTATGTGCTGAACTACAGATTCCTTCCAAGTTTTATTGCTTTGCTTTCTTAAAGCTTTGTGATAAGATTTTTGTTCCAGAAAAAAGAAAGGATGGAAGGCGGGGGAGGGAAGGAAGGAAAGGGAAAAAGAGGAAGGGAGGGAGGGAGAAAGGGTGGTGGCAGGTATCTCTTGCTTCACTGTCTGGGCCCTACTTGTTAAGAGCAGGAAGAAAAGCTTCAAAAGGTTTCAAAAGATGATCTTCTCTGTATGGATTTACCACTGTACTCATGCTATGTACGCCTGTCAAGAGCATTTCTTTTCTTTGAACTTTAAACTTACTTTGTAACGTGAAGTGAGGTTTTTCCAGTTGGAAGGCTGCAGACACAGGTCTTGGTGGGGGAAGAGGTGGTCTGCAGCACACGAGTGGCTCTTGTGAATTACTTTCTGGGTCATTTCCGGGAATGAACACATACAAATCATCATACTGGTCCTCAGGACTTCCGCTGCCAGCCTCTGAGGGGCTGTGCCTCTCCTGGGTGCCTGATTCAGGCTCCTCTTCCTCCCTGGTCCCTTCAATTGCCTCGGCACCATCTGTACTCTGCCTGTAGGTCTTCCGGCTTTCATGATGCCATGCTGGGTACTGCGTGGCTATTTATGAGAAGAAAGATTGTATAATTTTATTTAAATGGACCATCTGGAGGCATTTCATATTTTGTAAATTTGTAGAGAAGTAGTAGTATTGCTAATAAAACTTTCATGGCCTGATATAGTGGAAAGCCATCAACTGCATAACTTTTACTGAATAGTCATTTCTGGGATTTAAAAGTATTTACTCAAAGAAGAGTCAAAGCTCCATTAAATCTTGTTACAACAATACCTGACACCTCCTGTATATAATGACATTCTGATTCTCTAGAGTTATTGTAGAGTAGATTTATGTATTTAATATTATTATGAATTTTTATTAGAAAACAATGTAATTGACCAAGTGAAATAAGTAAAAAGAGATGGAAAAGTATAGAACAAGGAAAGGAAATAAAGGTTGACTTGCTTGTAAATAATGAATACAAATGAATCTATGACACTTATTTATTTATTATTTTAATACATTTATTATACATTAATTTTTATTATAAACATATAATGACTGGGGCTGGGGTTGAGGCCCAGCGGTTGAGTGCTTGCCTAGCACGTGTGAGGCCCTGGGTTTGATCCTCAGCACCACACACAAATAAAAAAAGATATTGTGTCCAACTACAACTAAAAAACAAATATTTTAAAAAAACATATAATGACTTTTATAATTTATTATACACACTATATTGATTTGTGAAAATATTGTTGAGGAAAACGTTCACATTTTTTGATGGAGAAGATATCCAAATCACTCACAGTGGGTACATCTTTCTGAGGCTTGGTTCGCTTACCTATAAAATGCATTTTATCTTGAAATTTAACCCAATAATCAGGTTAGATTCCCTTCACTCCAGGAACCATGCCATCATTTGTCTGTTTATGATGCATAATAAATGCTCTTTAACCACTCAGGAAGAACACAGAAAAATGTTACAATGTAATAACATATTAAAATACTTTTATTAAATTTTCTTTTTAAAACAATCTCTACAGAAAAGATTCAAAAAAATTTAGGATAGACTTTTGGAAATTCCAAATAACTTTGGAATCTTTGTAACAGATTGTGAACATTTGAGTTGTCATTCTTCTCAATGTAATCAATTGTTTTAAAGGATTGCTGAACTTAAATATAACTAAAAAAGTCAGATAGCATAATTTAGAAAAATAAAACAACCTTTATTTTTAAATAAAGAGTTACACTGTATAAGTTCTTTCAGCTTAGTAAGGAAAAATCATATCCATGATGTTACCCCCATTACTACATGTATTCTCATTTTTCTTTTATTTTATGTGAGAAAGAAGAAAATATAGCTTCCAGTATTAGAACTGAATCAAGATCCTAGTTCAGAGCAGAGGGAGACATTTTCAAATGATCTACCTGTACAGAAATCATTCATCTTTCTACTCCTAACACAAAAACACCAGCCTGAAATAAAGTAGTCCTTGAAAATGTTGATGGAATCCATGATAAAATGACTGGAAAAATTATTGCTCAGGCCAGCAAACATACTTCACTCTTTCTGTATGTGCAAATCAGTCATCAACTTAGAATTACATTCACGCTGTAGCAAATGACTCGGAGCCTCAGTTTTGTTTGTGTATTCAGTGTTTCTTGACACTAACTAAGTAATAGAGCTTCCCTTGTGCTTGTCAAATATGCCCAAACCTGGATTTCAGCCCTGGAGAGCTGGATTTAGTGCACCCGTGGGTTTTGGCATGCTCCAGAGCAATGGTGGTGCCAATGGAAATCTGCTGACTCATACAGTTTCATATATGAGAGAGTTTCTGGTTCCAAACTGTCTCTTTAGAACTTAAATAATGTTTTCTTATTCTAGGCTGTTCTGAGGATTCAGTATTATGATAAATATATGATCCGTATCAATGTTGGTCTTTATCATCACCTTTGCTATCATAAAAAATGATAAAATATATAACCTTCAAACTTGGTGCATTAACTTCTTATCTTAATTAACATTTGTGTATTTGTATTCTGCAATCAAAAAATGTTTGAAGGAGTTTACTGATTTTGCCAAAATAATGCTAAGTGCAATACAAAAAAATAGCAGGTACAGAGAAATAAAGAGTAAAGGAAGAAGACAGGAGTGATGATTTGAAGGAAGAAGTGATGAAGTGAGTTAAGGGGACACACAGAAGAAGAGTAGGTAGTGGGGGTAGAAATTGCAAATGCCCGTAGGTAGAAGAAGCAAGCTTGATGTGTGAGATTTCACTGGCCATGAGCAAGTAAGACAGTGACCAGAGAGAGTTTTAAAAGATTAACTAGGACCCTGTAGATGATAAGAAGGATTATAGGTAAAATGGGAAGGTTTTGGATGATTTGGGACAGAAGAGTGATTAGTTCCTTCATGAAGCCTAAAGCGTGAGAGGTGAAAAATGGGGAAACTGCTTCAGGGTTTCTTGATAGCGGCACATTATTGACATGTTTGACATGATGTTGGATTATTGACATGTTGGACTGATGTTGGTGAGGGGCTGTCTGGTACACTGTAGGATTTTTAGTAGCATTCCTGATGTCTCTACCCACTGAATGCCAGTAGCAACCCTTCATTTCCAAGTCATGGCAATCAGAAAACTCTCCATTCATTGTCAAGTTGGCAATGTAGGGGACAGTCAATACCCCTCCACTGGGAATCACTGTACAATCTGGGGAAGAACTACTGACAGTGTGAACTAGGACGAAGGGCAATGAGAAGGGTGAGAAAAGATTCAGTGTGGGCAATATTTTGAAAGTGGAGTCAATAAGATTATACAGTAGACTGGATACAGGGTAAGAGAGAAAGTAGAAAAGCAAAGGTAACTTCAAGGATGTTGAAGTAGCTTGAACAATGGAAACATGGCATTTCCATTTGCTGAGCTGGGGAAATCAGCACATGTAGACGCTTAGAAGTGGTAGAAATCAGGGTTTTCAGAAGTTGGGATGTAGATGCTGATAAGAAATGCTGATGAAGATGTTGAACAAGTCATTGTGTGTTAATGACACAGGCCTAAAATGCAGGATCATTTTGAATCTGTCTTCAGACATTAGAACCTAGAACTTCATGTTGTTACTTCAGAGAGGACCTTAGAGAGTGTCCTGGTCCAAACTTCTCATTTCATAGCTGAGAAAAATAAGAACTGCAAAAAACGTGATTATGTTTGGGGAACAACAAACACTTGAAAAAACACAGTTGTCAAATAGAAAAAAAAATGTATACCAGTATAACTTGTGTATTTCTCCTGGGTAGGAAACCTAATATGTGATTATTAGACCTTGACCTTCTTAAATGTATCTACACTAGCAAATGTAGTGGCATTTCTACCATATTATAAAGTAAAAGTCATTCTGTTAATTAAATACCTTTCTGAATTCTCTTCAGACATATATTTCCAGCATATGTACTATAATATAAAAGTTACATATATACATAACATGTAAGAAAACTTACAGGGAGAATATGTAGAAAATGAGAAAATATCTTCTTCATAGTCATTTTCTTGATCATTATTTCTGCCCATTTCTTGGATCTGAAAAAAAAATGAATGTAAATTTAATAATGTGCATTAATCTTAGTCTTCATTCGGCACCTGGTGAGACAAGAAATAGTTTTTAGATTTTATTAAATGACTTAACTCTATTACACTATAAATATTGGTCTGGTCTCTGTTTAGACTCTGTGAAGAAGTCATAGAGTCTACAATTATGGAGCACACAAGTGCTCAATAACACAGGGCACTGAAAGTCAAGTGAGAAAATAGAACATTTATACCAAACAATAAGTTCAGTTAAAAGTGAAACTTATTGAAACTATTTTAAGACTTTAAGAAAGCAATAATCATGACATTTAGGTGCAATAAAAACATTCTGAATGAAATTTAACACAAGTATTTCTCTTAAATATTTCTTCCAATTTCTTCCTTTTAACATTTCTGTATCATTTACCAATTGAAAAGGTGTTCTTTCCCCTTTCTTCCTTCCTACTTTTCTTTCAGTGGTACTGTGGATTGAACATTTAACACAGGGGTACTTTACCACTGAGTTACATCCCCAGCCGCTTTTTATTTTTTTATTTTTAGACAGGGTCTCACTAAGTTGCCTAGATTGACCTGAACTTTATAATCCTCCTATCTCAGCCTTGCCAGTCGATGAGATTACAGGTATGTGCCACCATGCTCAACATAAAATGATATCTTAATTTCATTAAACATTTCAATACAGCAAAAGAATGATATTTTTTTATAAAGGTGTTTTTTTATTCATCTTTATTTTTTAAATTTTTAGTGCATTGTTGTTATACATAATGGGGTTCATTTTGACACCTTCATAAATGCATATAGCATAGTTTTCTCCATTTTAATCCCAAGTACTACCTGCTTTCATTTCCTTCTCCCTCCCCTCAAACCTCTTATTCTTCACCCTAAAAAAAAAAAAAGAAAAAAGAAAACAGACAAGCGTATTTCTGTTTGTCTTTTGAAATCAGTTCTGCTGTATTTTATCCATTTACTTATTTAGTGGTTTTGAGGATTGACTCAGGGCCTCCTGCATGCTAAACTTGTGTTCTAATGCTGAGCAGTGCCTCCGGCTGTGGTTCCACTATACTTAGAGGGCAGAATTACTGAGAAAGAACAGAAACCTATTAGCTCTGGAATTGCTGGTCTTTGTTTACAATGTCTTAAGGAGTCATATTCTATAGTTATGGATCATAGAGGTGCTCACAGAGAAAGCCAAGTAATGCCAATGACAACTTTATTTGTGCAAAAGGATCTAAGAAAGGGATGGAATTTGGCTGCATTTGACATGGGTCACTTTTGTTACATGAACTCTATGTGATTATTATCATGTTTTTATTCAGAATCCAATTGATGAAAAAGATTAGGGCATTTTCTTTACATTAAAAAGCATATCAATGCATTTATAAATTTATAGTAGCCTTGGTATGCAAAGGTATAATAACTGAATACTGACTTCATCAGTTTATTATCCACTTTGGCTCATGTGCGCCCAAAAGAATTTATTCATTTTGTTTTGTTTTTGTTTTTAAAAATCTAATGCAATTCAGAGAAACAGCACAGTTCCTAATTTCTTGTGCATTCTTAAAATTCTCTAGGTATTTTTAGTTTTTTTTACTGAGTCTGATGCATCATTTTGTATGTCAATCATCCTTTCCCCCTTGTTTTAGAAATATTTACACTAAATATTTCTTTCTTGAGTTCCTTATACTTTTAATCATATACGAAAAGAAAAACATCCTAGATCTAGTGGTGCATTAACAACTTCAGTAAAACTAATGATGACTTCAGAGACATGTCTCATAGCAATCTGACATCTGACCACTTTCTAGTTGATTGTGTGGCATAGTGGAGAAAGTATGGACTATGAAGTCAATTAAATCACAAATCACATCACAACTTTATAATTTATTAACAGTGTGATATTGGGCAATATCTTTAACTCTAAACCTCAATATTCTATCTTATAAAATGTGGTTAGTAACATCTATGCCCTCAGACTATTGGTACTATTAAATTACAATAATGTAAACAAAACACAGATCTCACCTATCACATAGTAAGTGCTCTTTTTCTTGGGTTAAAGTCTGACTTTATTAATTTATTTGTCAATCGTCTAAGGCAGCCTACTATATGCTAAATACTCTCTTCTTATAAGTAAGTTAAAAACATTAAATAGGAGATATAATTCCCAGTGTCAAAAATATCATATATTTATTGGGAGGAAAGGGAAATAATAAAATTATTAGAACATAATATTTTACATATTTTACTACAACACACTTCTTACAGGCATAATAGAGAATTAAAAAGTGGTCAAACAAATATGGTAAAAGTTGTATTCATTTTCTTTTTGGAGAAGTTGGTTTAAAAATTACCTTGACTCTTGCATTAATTCCCACTTCTTTAGATGAAAGATCAAGTATAAGTGACAAAATCTATTAGCTAAACATATTTAATGTAGTAGTTCAGCCCACAGCCTCTCCAGCACATATTTAATGAATTTAAATATTCATTTATTATCAAAGATAAACTAGAAAGAGAACTTCTTGCTGACTGGGGTATATATGTAAAGCTCCACATGGCTATGGCATCTGGTCCTGTACAAATTGATCACAATATTCTGATTTTTAGGGGATGAATAATAACAATCTTCACAAGGCAGTTGATTTTCAAAGTAGTTTATGAGACTCTGAAGATACTGTAATTGGCCAACTTGTCCAATTCTCCATGGTTTTGATTATAAATGATTTTTTTCAGCGTTTAAGGCACATATAGCCTGTGGAATGAGTATAAAAAGACAAATATGTATTTAAAGAGGAACAAAATGATCCTGTGATAGTTTTATTCCCAATGAATTCACTAGGCTGGAGAATCTGAGCTAATACTGTAATGAAAAAATAAGGATTAATCTTACTGAATGGTAAGAATAATGACCAATGTGATGTAAAGCCTTGATAATAGCAAACATGGAGTCGCAAACATAAAATTTTAATGGCGCAAAATAGGAGTGTAAAATTTTAGCTCGGATTAAGCCTTTGAATGATTTTCCTTGAACCATATAGGAATATGGTCTAAATCAGATGCAGAACTTTCCAGGGATGTTTCCTTTGATATTGCAGGAAATAGAAAGTTGGGAAAAAAAAAAAGCTAAATAGGAACCCTTTCCACGATTGGGAGAGGAATGAAGAATAATTAAATAGATTCTAAGCTCCTAAATTCAGGGGTAAAAAGTGGACATTTTCCTTAGTATGGGTGAAAATTTCATTAGAATAACCTGAGTGTGTATGTTCTGTTTACTGGAGAGAATATTATCATAGAAAATTAAAGTGATACTTGACCAGGTGAACAAAGTTCCATTCTGCACAATGAGAAGCTTTCTTTTTTTTTTTTTTTAATTTTTAGTTATACTTAATTTTCGGGTGCAATGTGATATTTCAATACCTGCATACAATGTGCACTCATCAAGTCGGGGTGATGAACAAATCCATCTCCTGTCACAGATCCAGGCACATTTTGCCCTCTATAGCAGCCACAGACAGACAAGAACTTTTGCCGAAGACAAAGACTTCATTCACAAGGTGGCTGAGTGGTGGCCTGGGAGACCCACCAGGTGGCAAGGGTGGGAAACTTAATTTCCTAATTGGGACAACAAGGACAATTTAGTGAAGTGGGAAGAGCAGTGCTAAGAGGACAGGTGATGGTTTCATTCCCTCATTTGAAGAAAGGGAGAAAGAAACAGAGGCAAACTGAGCCCTGGTCCCTCCCATTCTGGCAAATAGAACTGAACCAGTTTAGCAGATTTGAGGGTGGGTCTTGGGGTGGCAGTCTCTGACTCTGATATATACTCACTTAATACTCCCCTCTCCCTGTGAGGCCACCTCCAGCATACCCACTGCAGTGTGGATCCATTATTCTATGCCCAAGATGCAGTCCCAACTACAGTCGTTAACTTCAGGGGCTTGGGTACCTCCCTTTAAAAAAAAAAAATATATTTATTTATATATATAATTATTAATTCTCCAAGTGCGGCTGCCACCTATACTGCTACTGCCAAAGCTGCTGTGGCAGTAGCAGTATAGGTTAAATTATTTTAAAAATAATTTTTAATTATCATTTTTTTAAAAAATTTGCCATAGCTTTGACTATATCTGTGAGGTACCAGCAAGTTTTCTGGGCTATACATTTGGTTTGACTTCACCCATTTCTGTCACTAAAATGGAAATGTTAAAATCTATTTCTTTGTTAGGGTTGTAATTGTTAATGTGAAAAAACAGCTAACTGCATTTAAAATGAGGATGTGGGGGAAAAGGCACACTCATACATTGCTGGTGGGGCTGAAATTTGGTGCAACCACTCTGGAAAGCAGTATGGAGAGTTCTTAGAAAACTAGAAATGGAACCATCATTTCACCCAGTTATACCATCCTCAGTATACACCTAAAAGACTTAAAATCAGTATATTACAGTGGGGCAGTCACATTAATGTTTATAATAGCTCAATTCATAATAGTTAAGCTATGGAATCAACCTCAGTGTCCCTCAACGGTGAATGGATAAAGAAAATGTGTTATAGAGCCTACATCCTGGGAACAAATCTTTACTCCTCACACTTCAGATAGAGCCCTAATATCCAGAGTATACAAAGAACTCAAAAAATTAGACAATAAGAGAACAAACAACCCAATCAACAAATGGGCCAAGGACCTGAACAGACACTTCTCAGAGGAGGACATACAGTCAATCAACAAGTACATGAAAAAATGCTCACCATCTCTAGCAGTCAGAGAAATGCAAATCAAAACCACCCTAAGATACCATCTCACTCCAGTTAGATTGGCAGCCATTATGAAGTCAAACAACAACAAGTGCTGGCGAGGATGTGGGGAAAAGGGTACACTTGTACATTGCTGGTGGGACTGCAAATTGGTGCAGCCAAAGTGGAAAGCAGTATGGAGATTTCTTGGAAAGCTGGGAATGGAGCCACCATTTGACCCAGCTATTCCCCTTCTCGGTCTATTCCCTAAAGACCTAAAAAGAGCATGCTACAGGGACACTGCTACATCGATGTTCATAGCAGCACAATTCACAATAGCAAGACTGTGGAACCAACCTAGATGCCCTTCAATAGATGAATGGATAAAAAAAATGTGGCATTTATACACAATGGAGTATTACTCTGCATTAAAAAATGACAAAATCATAGAATTTACAGGGAAATGGATGGCATTAGAGCAGATTATGCTAAGTGAAGCTAGCCAATCCCTAAAAAACAAATGCCAAATGTCTTCTTTGATATAAGGAGAGTAACTAAGAACAGAGTAGGGTCGAAGAGCATGAGAAGAAGATTAATATTAAACAGGGATGAGAGGTGGGAGGGAAAGGGAGAGAGAAGGGAAAATGCATGGAAATGGAAGGAGACCCTCAGAGTTATTCAAAAGTACATACAAGAGGAAGTGAGGGGAAGGGGAAAAATAATACAAGGGGGACAAACGAATGTCAGTAGAGGGGGCAGAGAGAGAAGAGGGGAGGGGAGGGGAGGGGGGATAGTAGAGGATAGGAAAGGCAGCAGAATACAACAGACACTAGTATGGCAATATGTAAATCAATGGATGTGTAACTGATGTGATTCTGCAATCTGTATATGGGGTAAAAATGGGAGCTCATAACCCACTTGAATCAAATTGTGAAATATGATATATCAAGAACTATGTAATGTTTTGAACAGCCAACAATAAAAAATTAAAAAAAAAAAAAAAGAAAATGTGTTATATATACACATTGAAATATTACTCAGCCATAAAAAAGAATGACTTTATGACTTTTTCCAGTAAATGAATGGCTCTGGAGACTATTATGTTAAACTAAATAAGCCAATCCCCCCAAACCAAAAGTGGAATGTTCTTTCGGCTACATGGATGCTAACACACAACAAGGGGTGGGGAGGGGAAGAATAGAAGTTCAGTGTATTAGACAAAGGGGAATGAAGGGAAGAGGGGTGGACAAAATAGGAAAGACAGATCCTTAGGAGAAGATGTACTTCATGTTTGTATAAATATGTCAAAATATACTCTATGGTCATGTATAACTAATGAGAACAAATTTTAAAAATGGTGGATTTCCAAGGAATCTATAGATAACTGTTTCTTATGTTTTTCATATCCTGCTATAATATTAAAACAACATGTAATATTAAAAATGCAATAATTTGGTTCCATAATTTAGCTATTGTGAATTGTGCTCCTATAAACATTAATATGGCTGTGTCCCTGAAGTATGCTGTTTTTAAGTCCTTTGGGTATAGAGCAAGGAGAGAGATAGCTGGGTCAATTCACAGTAGCTAAACTGTGGAACCAACCTAGATGCCCTTCAATAGATGAATGGATAAAAAAAAAATGTGGCATATATACACAATGGAATATTACTCAGCAACAAAAGAGAATAAAATCATGGCATTTGCAGGTAAATAGAAGATAATGCTAAGTGAAGTTAGCCAATCCCCCCAAAAACAAATGCCAAATGTTTTCTCTGATATAAGGAGGCTGATTCATAGTGGGGTAGGGAGAGGGATCATGGGAGGAATAGACGAACTCTAGATAGGGCAGAGGGGTTGGAGGAGAAGGGAGGGGGCATGGGGGAATTAATGATGGTTGAATGTGATGATCATTATTATCCAAAGTACATGTATGAGGACATGAATTGGTGTGAGTATACTATGTATACAACCAGAGATATGAAAAATTGAGCTCTATATATGTAATAAGAATTGTGATGTATTCTGCTGTTTATATATATATAAATTTATATATATATAAATTGTTATTACATATATAGAGCTCAATTTTATATATATATGTTTTTCCAAGCAATATTTGTTTTTAAATGCAATCTATGGTCTACACAGCTAAATCCTCTTTGTAAATTTATGTTTCCTGTTTTTTTTTTTTTTTCCCATCCTTGTTGCTCTTTTCTTTTCCCCTCCCAGAATGTATTCTTCCTGGGTGATCTTATCCACTAGATTGCCCTGTTGATTCACATTGGTATAGATAATGACCGACTCCTGGATGCCATTACTTCAAACTTTCCTGAGGTCAAGATTTTAGGATTCAGTAAAGGGTATAGAAGAAACAGTATAGGATCAAAGGGAAAAACCTGGAGAGAGAGAGAGAGAGAGAGAGAGAGAGAGAGAGAGAGAGAGAGAGAATGAATTAGGAGAGAGGGTTTCAAGTCATTCACAATGTTAGTTGCTTCACTAAGTGTTAAAAAGAATAATCCCCAAAAATAGTTCATCCGAGTTTCCAATCAGAGTTGCTGGTGAACCTGGTGAGGAGAATTACTATGGAACTGTGTGAGTTCATACTTAAAACATTAAATGGGGATGAAGAATTGAAGGCATCCTACAGTTTCCTTTCAGGAATGATAATGTGAGGAGGGGATATAGGGCAGCTGTACTCATGACTTATTTTTCAAAAAACTAGTTAAAGATACCAGTTTCAGAAAACTTGCCACACCGCAGGCAGAGTGGGCATCCAGAGCTGCGACACACCCACAAAACGGCACGAGGTAAGGATAATACATAAGTATGGAAGTGTGATGATCTCCAACCTCAAATATTTTATGATTAGTTGGGAAGACAAGTAGTGTAGATAGGCTAAATTAAACATGCTTTTAAAATGTAAATATACTTGCAAAATGCTGTAAGAGAGAAATGTGCAATCATTTCCGCTGAGTGGATGGAACAGAAAATTTCAAAGAGTAGGTGGTGTTCAAGCTGAGTCTAAAAGGATAAGTACAGTTTTAATCTGCAAAGAGAGGGAGGAAGCAAATTATTGGCTAATAGGTGAGCAAGATTGAAACAGTAGGAACACGTGGTGAGTGCTTTCAGGTGGTTTGATTAGGTTGCATGGAAGAATGCATTTGAATGTAAAGATATGGTGGTGCAATAGGTTTTATTTTATAAAGTTTTAAATGCTTTGGAGTATGTAATTATATCCTACAAAGTGATAAATAGTGTGATCCTGTCTGGATTAAAAAAAATAATTCTAATAACAGTGGATAAGATAGAGGAGGCTGTTTTAATAGTCTAAGTGAAGGGTAATGAGAGCTAACAAATTAAAATATTTATTGAAAAAGGGAGCTAAAAAGAAAATGATATGGACAAGAATTTTTAGAACTTTGAGGAAAGAAATAAAATATAACTGTGTAAGTTTCTGTTCACCTCAATATTCTGGTATCTGGTCCTAATGTTTACAATCATCTTTTCAGGACACTCCTCCAAAGAACTTTTCTCATTTTCTAATGTGGATAATAATTAACACATTTTCTATGCAATTTAAGATGAGAGTTTGGGGTCAAGATAGAAAGTTGATATCTTTGCTATTGTTTGAATTGAATCTTGGACACTTGAAAATATATTTGGAATGGGTATGTGACTATGAAATGGTGAGGCTTCCAATTAACTTATGAATTTAAGAAGTTTAC